CGCGGCGGGCGCGGCCCCGGACCCCCGCCCCCACCCCGCCCTGCGCGCGCATCCCGTACGCACCCCGGGGCCCGCACCCCGAGCCTCTGCCTCCCGCCCCCTACCCTCCGCTGCGCGCGTCCCTGGCCCCGCTGAGCGCCTTCTGGTCCTCACACCCCGAGTTCCCCGCTACGGGCATCCTCGGGCACCACCGTGCTCATCCAGGCCCCGGCCCCCGGAGCCCCGCCGCCCGCCCCCGGGGTCTGGCCTCTGCTCGGCAGGCCTCGAGCGCGCGCTCCGGGAGCCAGCGGGCTTCCCCTCGGCCCGGGCGCGGGACCTCTGTGCTGCTCGGAGTCGGTACTGGAGACCGACCGACCAGCACGCCTGTGGGGCCCTTGGGTGGATCGGACGAGCCTTGGATGCCGATCAGGGCCTGGGTGTGGATCAGCGTTCCCCGGGGCTCTGCCTCTAGCTGGGTCCTTGCCTGCTCTGGGATCGAACGCAGGAGAGACCCGCGTGCGCTCGGCTTGGGTGCTGTGTTTGTGGGTGGCTCCTAGCGGAGGGCGCGCGCGCAGGAAGCAGTGTGGAGGGACAGGCGCCTGGGTTCCACGTGCGAGACGCCCCGCCTTTGACCAGCGTGTGTTCACAAAGAGGTCTTTATCTGTTTCTGGACTCCGGAATCCTGCTTGGGAGCAAGCCCCCTCTCCCCACCCCCTTCATCTGCCCAGTTCAGGGGGGTTGTATTTGTGCCTCTCCAACTGTGAGTACTTCTTGTTTTGAGGAGATTTGAGTTTGGGGGATGTAGGCTCTTGAAATTCTGTCCAGCGTAGAGGGCTGCTGGAACTCCTGGTATCCCTGCCACGCCCCTCTCGTGGTGGGGTGGTGGTGGTAGTAAGCATCTCTGGGCAAGGAAATGGGTTGGGGGGAATCCTCCCTGGGGAGTTAGGGACAAAAAGCCCGCTGGTCTCAGGCTGCCTCCCCTGGGTCTGTGGCACTGTGTGTGTCATCTGCCGCCACCACCACGCCCTCCCAAGACCCTCCACCCCACTCCTCATTCACTCAGAGATGCTGCCTGTCACCTGCCCAGGCAGGAAGCCTGCAACAGGAGAGGGCAGGGCAGTGCTCTGGTCCCCTCCTCTTCACTCCTCACCCCCTTCTACCCAGCCTAGCCTCCAGCTTCTCCCCTTGGCCCAGGGGTCCTCCTCCCATGACCCAACTCCTTCTTGTAGCTTTGGAGCCCTTGTCCTGTCATTTGTCCCCTTGTCTCCATCTGCCCTTCTGTCCTCCGGAAGAAGTGCTGCAGGGGCAGGGTAGAGTACATGTGGCATGCTGCCTGGACTCAGCTCAGGGGTGTTGTAGGAGCAGTGTCAGAAATCCTCAACCCCGGCCAGCTTCCTGTCCCCCCACAAGCTCAGTATTCGAGTTGTGCACAGGCTGTGATAGCCCCTGAGGAGTGGGGCAGGGCGCTGTCTGGAAATTAGAGGTTGATGAAGGATTTCTCTTCTGTCTGTCCCTCAAGGAGTCTTGTCTGGTTTCAGACCCCTAGATCGACGACTGCGCTGGTAGCACAGCGGGCTAGGCATTGGGCCACTAACCAAAAGGTTGACAGTTTGAACTCACCACGTGCTCCCTGGAAGAAAGGCCAGGCAGTGTCAGTGTTCATAAAGATTTGTGGCCTTAGAAGCCCAGTGGAGCAGCACCCCGCTGCCCTACAGGATCACTGTGGTCAGAATCCACAGGCTAGCTGAGGTTTGGGTCTATTTCTCTGCCAGGCAAGAGTTCTGGGTGAGTAGCACAGCAGTTGAGCTCTGGGCTACTAACTGCAAGGCTAGCAGTTCAAGCCTACCCAGACTCCTCGGAAGTGGGGCCTGTACCCCAAAATCAAAGCCCCAGGAACCTGATGGGGCACAGCTCTGTACATGTGGGGTTGCCCTGGGTCAGCATGCATATCAAGGCCATGGAGTTCGGCTCTCCCTCCTACAAAGGGGCGGGTAGGGTGATGAGAATTAATGGAATCTCCCCCTAAACCAGTGGTTCTCAACCTTCTTAATGCCCTGACCTTTAATACAGTTCCTCATGTTATTTCCGTTGCTACTTCATAGCTGTCATTTTGCTACTGTTATGAATCGGGCAACTCCTGTGGAAGTCAGGGTAGCGACCCACAGGTTGAGAACCGCTGCTCTAAACCTTTTGATGCCCCCTGGTCATTCAGGAAAAGAGTTGCAGGGTTGAGCTGCCTTGTGTGTAGGATGTCACAATATTGAAATGTGTAATCCTCCAAGTATTTGTAACAAAGTCGTTGCTGCTCAGAAGGTCTCCGTGTTCAGGCCCTGCAGAAACCTTGTGGTTTCCATCACACGGG